ACTACTACTACTACTACTACTACTACTACTACTACTAATACTACTCATACTGCTGCTGCTGCCGTTCCGAACGCTTCGTGATAAAGTAACATGCGATCATCTGGCATTTGCAGAAGCAAGATCATGTTCGGGGGGATTTCGAAACCAATGCACATTCTACGTTGGGATTTCAAAATGCGCCGTCTTAGCAATACAATCCGCCACCGTGTCTGGGTGGCACGCAGTGGAGTCAGATCACGTTGCTCAAATCCCTGAGCCTGTCCTCAATCCTGAGGGCTGCTTTCATGGCCCGGGCCCGCAAATTCCACATCAGCTGGGGTTTGCAGCGCGCTTCCTGGGCTTACCCGAAACTTGTCGCATGACTTCTTCGAAGCCGGGGAGGGGCCCCAAGACGGGCCAAGAGAGCCCCGTGAAACGCCCAATATTGCGCAAAGAGGGCCCCGAGTCGCCGAAACAAGATGGCCACACGACTGTCCAAGAGGCGGCCAAGACGCCCCAACAGAGCTCCAAGAGGCGTCCCAGAAGATCTCCAAAAGGTCAAACTCGTATTTGTTCCATTGGGTTTTTGGAAGACGTGGGGCTTCTCCACTTCTCTAGCCTCCGACGACCCAAGACGTTCCAAGAGGTTCCCACGACCGCCCCAGAGGCTCCCACGAGGGCCCCAATGCGCCCCAAGAGGGCTCCAAGACTGCCCAAGAGGCGCCCAAAACGGCCACAGAGGGCTCAAAGACGGCCCCAAGAGGGGCCCCAGAGGGGGGGAACGCGAATCCAAAAATCCGAGCCTTCTGCTCCAAGAAGCACCCAAGGGGCCACAAGAGGCACCCAAGAGGCTTCAAACTGCCTCCAGGAGGTCCCCGAGAAGTCTCGACGAGATACCGACGAACATCCAAGAGGCCGCACACCTACAATCCAGGCATGGTGGCGGGAGTGGACGAAGGCGAAGGAGGAGGAACAGGAGCATGAGGACGAGGAGTAGGATGAGGAGGAGGAGGACGAACAGGAGGAGGACGAATAGGAGGAGGAGGAAAATGAGGAGAAGAAACGAGAGGAGGAGCAGGAGGAGGATGATGATGAGGAGGATGAGGTGGAGGAAGAAGACCAATGTACACCCAAAAATCATCAACGATATGGAGATCAACCCTCTTTCCGGGCTCCCGCCCCATGGACCCCAACAACGGTTCATTTCTACTGAGGAAACTGCCTCGTTGGAAGTCAACCGTTTGAAGACCCTGACGCATGCCAAAACATGGTTCTCGGGATTCCAACGCCACGTATAAGCCTGACTGTTGCGTCTTGACGACCAAGAACCGTGCCAGAACGCCATTCCTGGGACTTCAACACCGCGAATCAACGTAACTGTTGCGCCCTCATGATCCTCAGCCCTTCACAAAGACCGTTTCTGCTACGCTGATCATGGGAATCGTGAAACTCTTTTAACTTCTAAAACGAAAGTGCGCGTCGCCGAAGCGAAAACCACATTTAAAACAGGAGCCGCCCTCAATGTGTGAACTCTTGCAATTTGTAAAAGCGAATGTGCGTGGCGCTAGGGCGAGAGCCTTATTTTGAAAACAACCCGCCCTCAATCCGAGAATCTCGTGCAAACGTTTGAAACGAATGTGCGCGACGCTACGGCGAGAGCCACATTTTGGAAACGACCCGCCCTCAATCCGTGAGCCTCTTGCAGCTTTAAAGAAGAATGTACGCGGCGCTAAAGCGAGAGGCACATTTTGACAACGACCCGCCCACAATGTGAGAAACTGCTGTCACTTTCTTAGCTTCAATGTCATAAGTGGTGAGGAAGTCTCAAGCGAAACGCCCGGCCCGCCCGTAAATCTGGCCTCGGGATGCGACAGGGATAAATAATCTATAAGGGAAAGGAACGGAGGAACAGGAGGAGGAGGAGGAGGAGGAGGAGGAGGAGGAGGAGGGAGGAGGAGGAGGAGGGAGGAGGAGAGGAGGCAGGGAGAGGAGGAGGAGGTGGAGGAGGAGGAGGAGGAGGAGGATCGACGACCCACCAACCATCCGCTCAACATCGGTCCCGTGCCCCTGCCTGGGGCTCACCCTGGCCAAATTTTCAAGGATGGGCCAGGCCGCGGCGACGAAAACGTGAGAAACGCACGAAACACCTCCAAAATGAATGCGTCGACGGGGAAGAAAGTCCAAGGAGGAGGAGGGGGAGGAGGAGGAGGAGGAGGAGGAGGAGGAGGAGGAGGAGGAGGAGGAGGAGGTCATGGGGCGGAGGTCTTGAACCCATCGCGCCTGAGGGGTCGGCCCAGGGACGCCGGCCGAGCACTCGCTGGGCACAAAGCACGGAGCCTGGCGGTGGCCGTCGCTACGGTGGCCATCCAGGCTACTGCGGCGTAGGATGGGAAGAGGGATGCTGAGGAGGGAGGGCGACGAAGGGGGAGGAGGTGGAAAGGCAGAGGAAGAGGAAGAGGAGGATGGTGGTGATGATCACGGTGGCGATGATGGTGGTGATGCTTATGAGAGCCAAGAGGAGGTAAGGTAAGGCAAGGTGGGGTAAGGTAGGGTCAAGTGAGGTAAGGTAAAGCGAGGGCGCTATGGGAATCTGGATGATCAGGAGGAGGAACACGAGGAGAAAAGGAACACTATGAGGAGACGGAAGAGGGACTTCGCCAGGACGCGCGCGCGCGCATCCCACCCCTCCATCGGGATTTTGAAGGGTGGGATGCTCAATTGTGCGCTCGAGCCGCGCCCCCCCCTCCCCCACCTGCCTCGCCTGCGCCCGGGTGGGAACTTCCTTCTGCCCTTCTACTTCCACATGGCCCCCTCAAAGGGGGTAAGCGTCGTGCGCCGCATCCGCCGCAGTCTCGCTCCACGATTGGGGTGGCGCCTCATCGGAGGGGGTCTCGCTCTGCGACTGGTGGGGCCTCTCGCCCCGTGGCGCGGGTGGCGCCTCGCTACGCCAGTGGGCCCTGCGCGCGCGGGCGGGGGCCTCCCGCAGGGGTGACGCAGCTGCGCCGCATCGGCGGGGTCTTGCTCCGCGTCTGGGGTGGCGCCTCGCAGCGCGATTGGGCACACGCGTGCAGGCGGGAGTCTTGCCCGGGGAAGCTGCGTCGCCTCGGCGGGGGGTTTCTTTCCGTGACAAGTGGCATCCCGAAGCATTGGAAGGCGGATTCCGCCGCGAAGTGCGCACGATGATGTCCTGTAGGGTATTCCATCACGAGGTCCTCAGGATCCCCGAGTGAAGCCTCAAGACTCGACTCGAAAAGATATCCTGCGGATGCAGGACAAATCCGCCAACATGTCTGGGAATGTCGGAATAGAATACGTCAAGGTTTAACAAGAACTCATGAACATAACAAACTCAATCCTCAAGGTTTCAGAAGATATGTTTTGGATTCCTTTGGATTTTCTTCTGGATTTCCTGCGGAATCCTGACGGAATCCGGGGGACATTTTTGCGAATCCTTCGAACTCTGTATGAACCCCAAACCAAATTCCTGGGGTTTTCCGACAAGACTCCGGAAGAAATTACTGGGACGCCGGAAAACAGCTGCGGGATTCCAATGGAAATCGCATGGGTATCAGCAGACGTCTGCTGGATTTCATCAAGATCGGTGTTGAGAAAATCATCAGGCATGTGCAGGGATTCCGTAGCACTGCAACATTGATCGCGCAGAAACTCCTGTTAGAATTCCTGAGGGTTCCAATGGGAAACCCGAGGAGCAATACTCCCAAGTGGGGCTGGGCTCCCACCTCTGTCACACAGCCTCAATCCCCGGTAATTCACAAAAACTGCAGTACGGTGCGCATGGCCGTGCCCTCGCCCCTGGCAAGCCTACGAGCGTATTGGGACCCACACATGTATATATGCATATATACACATCTACATACATATATTTGTTTATATAACATGATATATGAATGTATGTTTATATGTATGTATGTGTGTATGTATGTATGTGTATATATATATGTATAAGAACGACCGGTTTCACGAACCGACCTTCTACTCCTCGACCTGCCTCTTCACCCTTGCTGCTATTCGGGTGCTTTGCTGGTGTAAATATTTACGGCCCCCCGCATTAGGATCCCCAGAACCCGCGGAAGCCGAACAAGAGCATGTCTATGCCTTGATATGCGCATCTCGAAGGAGGCGCAAACCGCCACCCTGCATCGAAAGGAGGCGGGCGAGCTTTACCCGTTGTTCGTCTGGCGCGCCGCTGAACGCTTCGACCGAAAGCCGTTCGCGCCTGGCGCTAGTCGGATGGGGTGCTCGCTGCGGGTGAGGAGGAAGTGGTGGAGAGAGTGGATGACAAGGAGGGGGGCAGGGATGATGAGGAGGATGAAGCCTGGCGGAAACCGTCGTTGCAAGTGGCGTCCGTTTTCTTGTATGGGCTCGGGACGTGCTTCCAGTGCAGGCGGCACTCGCCCAGGTGCCAATTACATTTCCCGCGGCACCTCTAGTGGCGGCGGTGGCTTTCTCATCCTCCTCCTCGTCGTCGTCGTCGTCGTCGTCCTCCTCCTCCTCCTCCTCCTCCTCCTCCTCCTCCTCCTCCTCCTCCTCCTCCTCCCCCTGGTCCACCGATTTCACTGCCAGGGCCACCTCGTACAGTACAGAAGAAACCTCGCAACGACCGAAGGCGACTAAGGAGCGTGGAGTGGGAGCAGCAATCTCGCCCACACTGTCTCGTAACCACGAGGTGTTGCGGCCACGCGCCCCCGACCCGCGCTCTCTTGCTGAAGCAGGGGGCGAGCGATTGGGTTAACCTGAGTACATCCATCGTGCTACCGCGAGGAGCGGCGGACAAGGAACGAAGGCCTTGTTTTCTCTGGCCACGGCGAACCACGGCCACGGACGGGTTCTCCGACCCAGATCTCGGGAGCGGCCCGCAGGGACAGAGCCCCCTTCTGAGCCCAAGGCGGTCCTCGTCCCAACGGAAGGACTGCAGCGCTGGCAGCGGTGCGGTGCACCTGGAGCACGGCGACAGCCGGAGCCGCACCCAAACAACAACCCCAGTCGGGCGCGGCAGCCCTCCAGGCAGCCCGCGCCACGCGGCGACCTCGCACGGCGCCGCGGCACGGGCGGACGAGGGCGGTTCCGCCGCCCGGCGTGCCGCGCCCTGGCCGTAGCCCTCGGCACTCCGTCGCCGCGCGGGCTCCCGGGTGCCGCGCCCGCGCAGGGCGGCCGCCCAGCGCGGCGGCGGCGGTGGCGATGGGGCAGCGATCGACACGGGTGGCCCTCAAGGGGCGGGTTTTGGAATACCATGTGAGCCCTGCTCTAGAACAGGAACATACCGTAGACGGCTCTACCCTTGCTCCGACTGTGTACCGCGACGAGCGCACCGGCCGCGTTGCCTTTAGACGCATCCACCACGAATGCGTCTACGTACGCAACGACACCCAATGTGTCTACGGCCGCTAGTGGCTAGAGAGTGAGGGCGGCACTTGACACAGGCCCAAGACACTGGCCTTCCACAAGCAGGTAGACTTTGCCCGCCAAGGCGGGCGAGCGGGCGAGGTAGCGCAGGCGCGGGTCACAGACTGGCGCCAGTCTTCTGAATGGTAGACAGCAGGAGGATGGACAGAGACGTGCCAACCCTCCCGCCAGAATAGGCGTCCTCACGAGGACGCCCAGGG